ATCCTAAGATTTTTTTGGTCTGAGTCGAACGGTATAAAAAGGCCCTTAAGCACCATAAAAAAATATGGGTATTAATAAATATAACTAGAAGAATCATAAGCAAAAATTAATTGATTATTATTAAACAAAAACGTATGAGTTAAATAAATGTTTGGATGATGATGACTTGATGATGAATGTTGAATCGTATGGTCTCAAAACAAATAAATAGCACTTTCCCTAAACTCTGGTCTTCAATTAGCAACGACGATTTCAGAATTTAGAACACAAAATTGACATTTAAAAACACAACAATTACATTAAATAACAATTATACATATCTGGGATGCTATGGAGTTCTGGGCTGAACTTCTATGCTTCTAGCCTTCAAAGATTGATGTTGGAAGCTTGGACTTCAAACCTGGGAACTCGGAAGTTGCAAACGAGAGAGCAGAGCTGCAGATGCAAGGGTCGGTGATCGGTCGAGAGCTTCTAATCAAAGGAAATTCAAATTGGGCCTATTATGCTATGGGTATATATATAAAGGGAGTTAATAAATTTCTGGGCCCTATTTTTTCCCCAAAATTATGGGCCTGAGGCGGTTGCCTCTTTGCCTCTACTATAGGTTCGGCCCTGAGTCTGTGACAGTGACCGTCTCAGGCAGTGGTGATGCTCACTGGCATGCTGAAAGTGACATATATAGTCTCTTTTTGAAGTATTTGAGTCATTTGACAACCAGTCACAATTTGTCCATGATTGTTTTTTCAATGAGTGTTATTTTAGTTTTTTGTTTTGTCATTTGTAATCCAATGTATTTTCGACGCGATTTTCACTATGAATCATTCGGAAACAGTCTCTCTGTGCTTTAGTACAAGGGTAAGACTGCGCACATTCGACCCCCCTTACCCCACTGTAGGTGGGAGCCTTTGCGGCACTGAGGTGATGATGATGATGATGAGATGTAATGCAATGCAATGTAAAAGGAATCACTTTGTAGTACAAACATCCGCTACAAATTGATTACATTGCAGCGCAGCGAGCGCTACTCAAAGACACTAAAACTGGTGTTCGCAGAGAATTTTCTCCCAATAGGATAGTATGTTCTTGCATATATATGGTCAAAAAGGAATGTTTTTCATATGTTATTTTTATATCAATCAGGAGGAGAACACGATGGATCCTCCACAATCTGTGCAGAGGGGGGTATCTGATTTGGTCGATGCTGCCCTTAGTTCAAGGAATTTATGCATGATGGACCCGACATGGCATCCCTGGTTTTGATTCATTTTTGCTAACGGCATCCTTTAATGTACTCTACATTCATGCCAGGTGGATGATATAATCAACTTCTCATGTAAATTACTGTGTAGCTAATTATGTGGCTGTTTAACTTATACTGTTAATACTTGGCATGGTAATCAGTGTATATGAATATATATTGGGATGAATATAATCAAGTTTCATGGTAAAGTCTGAGTTTCATACTTAAACAAAGACATTTCAGCGAATGATATGGAAGTATGGAGTATGAAATATATATTGGGACATGATCGCACTCTGAGTAGCTCCACGCAATCCTGCTGTTGGTCAACACAAAATCTGACTCATTGTCACGTACAACTCTAATATTGATTGTTTATATTAAAGCTCGTTTGAAGGAATTGAATGTGTCATTTTTGAGTCACAAGATTCCTAATAATCCTTTCTCCTTTAAAGGGAGTTGATATGGCTCTTTGATTATCTATAGTTCCTTTCTCCCTTTTCTTTTGATTATATGGTTTGCAGACTGCAGTATGCGGGCCACTGAACGGCTGGAAAACACATAGGCTCGTGTAAGGGGTTTGGAATGGAATTGTAAATTCTAAAAGTGAGTATCAATTTTATATTTATGAAGTATGAAAGCGAAACCATCATAGTTTTTACCAAAAGGATTTTGACTGAATGTATTTTTCAAAGGATCATATTTTTTCAATGTAAGCATATTACGAGCAAGATTGAGACCGGGAAAGGCAGGCAAGGTACCGGGACCGGCCAATCCGTTCCCGTTTTCAGTCTGATTTTTTTATTCTTTTCCAATTTTTTACATGATGATGATGATGATAACTCATACTACGTATATTATTAATTTAGCATTCACTTATTGTAATTTAACATGTCAACCGCTAGAAATGGCCGTGGTCCAACATATAATAGCCCAACATTTATCCTCCAATTGCCAGTTTTGCCACACCTTGTATTTTCATGTGTTTTTTGTTACCTTTTAAATGCTTGACCTTCATTTGAAGCTAAGCCGTTGTCATATTTTGTCTTTTAAAGTGCTGGTAGAACATATTTAAGTGTTGACATGAATTCCTCCATGGTAGCAATGTAGTCACTATAGAATTGGACATGATAAGAGCAATTAATGTGATTTTCTTTTAATTGTGAGAAAGACTTTGATCATATCATTCCAAGAATAAAATATAGGCTCAAATACTTTTTTTGTCCCTGAAAATATGATATACTTTGTTTTAAGTCTTTGCATTTTGTTTTTTGTTTTTTATCCTTGAAAACTATTATGTTCTTACCCTTTTGTATTTTTTTGAGGCTAATATGATAGTTAAAATAATGCAAAATCAATTATCCACATTTCAAAATATATTTTAAAAACCTTCTACAAAATAAAATTAAATACTTTTCGAATAACATGACAAAGAATTAGAGGAAATCTATTAATTAGGGTTATTTCGAGCTCAATCGCAGATTGGTATCATCAGGGCCAAAATAAAGAAAATTAATACTCCATATAAATTTCAGGGATGTAAAACAAAATGTACTATATTTACAAAGACTAAAAAGATATTTAAACCCAAAATATAAACGTTTATTTTATTTAAAATAAGCCATTTATCACCTTTATTGAGTACAGAGTACTCCAAAAGATTTATGAAAATTATGAACATCCGATATGGTCAATATATGGGATTAGGGGTGGACCCGGGCCGGTTCCGGTTCGGGCCTGGGCCCGGCTGGGCTTTTATTTGGGAAAGGTGGAACCGGAACCTGCCCGAGTAGCCGGCGGTTCAGGGCCGGGCCAGTTCCGATTCGAGCTTTTTTCTTCTTCTTTTGCTTTTGTAATCAACCCCCGGACCCCCCCCCCCCCCACCCCTCACCCCCCAAACCCCCCCAAAACACCCAACCCAATCCATTAGAATTAAAAAAAATGAAAAAAAAAAATAGGCCCGAACCGGCCGGGTCGGTTCGCGTTTTAGGGGGCCCGAGCCCGCACCGGGAACTGAGCGATTCCGGTTGGCCTGAACCGGCTCCAAGACCGGGCACCGGGCCAGGCCCAAACAGTACCGGGCTGGTCCGGTTCTGGGCCGGGCCGCCGGCCCGAGTCCACCCCTATATGGGATGATATGAACTAATCAAATTATCTTTAACATGTGCCCATGTGAAGGAGACGTATTCAGATCAATACCAAATTTAGAATCCTATGCTCAATTAGGGGTGGACTCGGGTCGGGCCGCCCGGCCCGGTACCCGGTCTTGGGGCTGGTTCGGGCCAACCGGAACCGCCCAACTCCCGGTTCGGGCTCGGGCCTTGAAAATGTTGAACCGGCCCGGCCGGTTTGCGCCAATTTTTTTTTTTTTTTTTCAATTTTTTTTGTTTCTACCGGGTAGGGCTAGGTGTTTTTTTTTTGGGGGGGGGGGGGGGTTGGGGGTAATTCAGAAAAACAAAAGAAAATTGAAAAAAAAAAAAAACATTGAACCGGAAACCGGCCCGGAACCGACGGTCACCCGGGCCGGTTCTGGTTCCCTACTTACCAAACAAAAGCCCGGTCGGGCCCAGGCCTGAATCGGAACCGGCCGGTCCGGGTCCATCCCTATGCTCAATACCGTAAAATAAATCTAGCTAGTCAAATCAATCTTTATTGATAAATTTGGTTTCATTCAATACTCAATACTCTGTACTACCTCCGTCCCAGAATTAACTTCGGTTTTGTCTGGGCACGAGGATTAAGATATTGGAAAATGTGTGGTGGAGAGTTGTGCAGAGAAGAGAGAAATGTGTAAGAATGGTTGTGAACCACAAATCCTTTGCCAAAAAGGGAAAGAAGAGATAAATCTGGGACGGACCGAAAAGAAAAGAATGAAGATAATTTCAGGGCGGAGGGAGTATATATTTTGAGTAATATGCTTACATAGTTACATTAAAGGCTTTGTTGTAATCATGTGTTTCTTTTAACATCCCTTCATTGATTAATTAATCATGTTGTTGAGTATTAAGTAAATGCATGTCTATAGGTATTAATAAGTGTAAGGATGTTTCTTTGTGGACTGAATTGGTCTGCACTAGTCTGATAAATGATTGATCTTTGTGTATTTTATAATTATGGAAGTCTGGTCCGGTCTGGTCTATTCTAATCTGGTCTGGGACTGAAAACAGTCCAAAAGAAAACATCCTAAATGATGGTTAACACTTAACATGATGACGTCATGGACGAGAGGATGTGTATCGTTATTTAGTCTAAACGTTTGGTGGTTTTAAATATTTACAAAGGTTATATCTAATTTTCATGAGCCATATGTGGTCCAGTGGAATGTGGAAGATGAGGATAGAAATCCACCATTATATTAAGGTTTCTTGTACATTTCATAACCTAGTTGCCTAGTTGGTGTGAAAGATTTGTATTATGATGATAGATGATACTCCGTATTTGATTCCTAGATCTTCGATGGGTTTTGGAAAGACGGCCAAATAGGAAAAACTTATGGCATCGCCAAAAAAAGGGAAAAAACTTATGGGTTTGGGAATTCAGTGTGAGAATGTTCAAACATGCACTAATATTGACGATATAGGATATCACTCTTATTTAACAGTTGATCGTATTAGATTTAAACAAATCATACAAGACTAGATAACAAGATCACGCCAAACTTAGATAATAGTAATGCTACAAATTTTACCAATTCTGATCAAATTAGGTATAAATCAAGACAAATTTAATGGATTAGACTAAATCAAACCATACCATAAAATTTTAATCCAAATGAAAACATTCTTAAACTACAAAAAGAAACAACATTGTTCTATAACTTCAAAAAGACCAAAATACACCATGAGTAATAATCGATCAAGTGAATAAAAAGGGTACAAACAGAAAACACCAACATTTTCCATCTTTTGGTTTACGTCAATAGAAGCAATGAAATACCGAAATACACAATTCTTATTAATTTTATCGTACATGTGAATGCTAATTAGCTAGGTATAACCGGCAAAAGAAGCATTAAGACGACAATAACACCAAGATTGTTATACTCCGTATATTTATTTGTATTCTCCAAAAACCCAAAAAAAGAAAAGAATAAAAAACAGGAATGAATTAATTAAGGGCATTTACGAGTGTTGTTGTGGGTAGTGAGATTAAAATAGCAGGGACAATCTTCATAATTTCCAGAAGTTCCATGGGGTACGCAATTGCACCTGGTGCAGCAGCTGCCGCAGGACCTATTGCACAGATTTGGTCTCTTTGACTTCTCACACCTTCCCTTACAAGCTCCGTTGCAGTCTGCCAAATTGTGTACACAATAAATATATCAAAACTGTTTCCTATACATATGTTCAACTTTTTTGATCGGTTTTTAAGACAAATTGCCCATGACATTGATTAAGAAAAATGTCTTTGAAACCGACACTTTTTCCTTCAATTATTGTCGATATCACGGGCAATTTGATTTATGAATCGAACAAAACCGATCAAAGTTATCCGTGACATACACAATATTGATGTAATCCGTTGACGCGATCACATAGATGCGTGTTAATGTGTAGACAATATTGCACAATAACGATTTTTCTAAATATATACTAGTATTCATTTTCCTAGAGGTACAAAATATGTCAGCACTATATTTGTATTAGAGAAAACATGCAAATAAGCCCTTAAACTATTTGCGTTTTTGCAGGCCCCTGAAGATTACAAATATACCCCTCAACTCATTGAAAATCAAGCAATCAAGTCTTTTTTTACCCGCTGGTGTCGATAGTTTCTCATTTCCTTACCTGCACCAGCAGGTAATAAAAGACCTGATTGATTGATATTTAATGAGTTGAGAGATGTATTTGTAATTCTTTCGGTTCAGGGGTCTGATTGCAAAAACGCAAATAGTTGGAGTAGTTATTTGCCTGTTTTGTCTTTGTATTATTGGTAAAAACAAAATAAAAAATTCGTTTTGTTTTTGAATTTACCGATGACTTGTGGCTGAGGACTTGGTGCTGGGGAATTGGCCAAGTCTACCTGTACGTGACAAAAACAAACAATGACGGATTGTGTTATTCTGCTTTTCTATATAGTCAATACTCCGTAGTATCTTCAAATCTTCGATACAATCTGCAGACATTTGAGAAGATTGACTAACATATGTAAAAATTAATTCTCTTGTCCGATTCGCCTGTCTTACTTTAATACATACAAATAAGGCAAATGCGCCCTCGAAATAATTTAAAAAGGTGCAAATCACCCTTATATTGGAGGCTCTGTCCGACCGTCGTCATTTGGGACGATTCCCGGTGGAATTTTTGATCAAATCTTTTGAGCATTTTCTTCATTAAATCCAGTTTACTCATATCAAATTTCAGCTAAAACATCAATATGAAAGGCAGTCAAATGAATTTTTGAAAATAACTGCGCATTTAAATAGCGCAGTACATTTCAGAAAATCATTTGACTGTCTTTTCTGGTGAATTTTAATCTGAAATTTGGTATGGGTAAACAAGACTTAATCTCAAAAATATTTATCAAAAATTTCAACGGGAAGCTCCCCAAATGACGATGGCCATACAGAGCCTCCTATATAAGGGGCGATTTGCACTTTTTAAGTTAGTTCGAGGGTCTATTTGACTCTTTAACCATAAACCTACTAATAATAACTAGTGTTTATTAGCTGAAAAGGCTTTTTAAAATTAATTAGTCCCAACAATTTATATGCCAAACATGTCTAAATCAAATAGACAACATTTTATCGAACACCTAACTCATTTTTTTTTCAAATCTTTTGTCACTAGAACTATCCATTACTCCATACTAAAAAGCTCATTAAAATATTTTTTCAGCTAGTTCCAAACATACCCTTGACATAAGAAAAAATGTGCATTTCAGAACTCTGTTAAGGTAAAATAATGCAGTCATAGATTACTCCTCAAATAGTCAAGCAGCTTAATTTTTCAGATTGCAATAACTTAAAGCATGTACTACGTATATAGTGTGACAACAATTCAAGGTAGTAAAAATACCTGGTAGCAGTAAAAATAAATTTAAAGAATAGAAAGTAATTTTGATCTTGCCAAAATCATTCTTAGAGGTTTTGATTAGAAGGAAATGAAATGAAATACCTGATAATGTTGAGCATTAGAGAAGTGGATGAGGAGCAGAAGTATGGCGGCGAGAAATGAAGCAGCAGCAAGTGGTTTTGGCAAGTATGCCATGTTTGGCGACCTTCTAATCTTATTAAGAAAATAAATGTCGAAATGTGAAGCCGGACTTAATTGGGTCTGGTACTCCCTATTAAATAGCCGCGCCATACCAAACTCCACCCCACCTTACTATAATTGTTCCGCTAGCTGGAATATAGTCACTATACTTCATTTTCTTCCAAAAATGGCACCCATTTACGCCTATTTTAAGAAGTTTTATTATTTTATTCTGTTGATGTAATTAGATAATTCATAATTTGAGAAGATACATAGTTAATATTACATTAGATTTTTATTCATGTTTTATTTCTATTTGGGATAAAATCTTTTAAAGATATATTCCATACGACTATACATGATAAAAACGGAGTATTGTGTACTATTTCGTCTAGGTTCCAAATCATATTCACATTGTCAACTTAAAGCATTTTTAATATTTTGATTTATATATCAAATTTTTATCAAATTTAGATTTTCTTGATCAGGTTATGTAAAATTTTATTCCGTAATATAGTTTTTGAATATATAAATTTTAGGCTAAAGGGTCAAATAGGCCCTTGAATTGACTTAAAGTGTTCAATTAGCCCCTTATATAGGATGTTCTGCTCGGCCGTCGCTAATTGGGGCGGTTCCCGGTGGAATTTTTTGATGAAATTTTTTGAGCATCTTCTTCTTTAAGTTTAGTTTACCCATACCAAATTTCAGCTAAAAATTCAACCGGGAAGGCAGTCAAATGATTTTCCGAAATGTATTGTGCTGTTTAACTTCGCAGTTATCTTCAAAAAAATCATTTGACTGCCTTTCCGGTTGAATTTTTAGCTGAAATTTGGTATGAGTAAACTAGACTTAATGAAAAAAATGCTCAAAAAATTTCATCAAAAAAATTCCACCGGGAACCACCCCAATTGGCGACGGCCAGGCAAAACCTCCTATACTAATTGAACACTTTAAGTTAGTTCAAGGGCTTATTTGACCCTTTAGCCTAAATTTTATTTACTAAAAATAATTAGAATATTGTTGAGGTTTATTCCTTCAACTCTCGGGTCCAACACATAAGCCCAAGGATTTCGAGTGGATTGTTTAAGAGTGGGTGATTAACTAGTCCAACAACAAGTAAGATGGGTTCAGAGAATAATGAAGCAACAAGAGATCGGATATTATTAATAATGAATAACGCCCCGATACAATATTCTTAATAAGGCCGAAGGCCGTTCGTCTTACACTTCAGTAGAAGAGCTGCGAGTAATAAGGTAGTAAGCCAGAGTGCTAAGGATAATAAGTTGACAACCCTTTATAATGAAATAAATGCTACTATTTATACCATCAATGGGCAGTTAGCAAACTGATGTGGTGAGCTATGAATGGCTGATGTTCCAACCACCAAATATCCAGCATTAAATGCGCTTTCCGCCATAATCTGGGTTTACCGCCTAATCCGTGGGGACGAACGTCCCTCTGGCTTGGGGCCTGCTCCTGATGACCCTCGCAAAGGTTGTGGGCCGTTCGTATCCTGGCCCTTGGAAGAATTCATCATATAGATTGGATTGGCCATCATGCGGTTATGGGCTTTTGGTAGAGACGTTCGTCGCCATGACCTTTGTCCGCGAGCGTGATCTACCGTTGTCTTAACTGGACGCTCGTCGGGGTGGGTTGCCTTATTGGACTGGACGTTCGTCTAAATGAGGGGGTAAATGAGCCGATCTTCTATTTGGGCCATTAACCCAACAAATATGAACATGGATTAAGTTGTTTTATCGTCAATCAAGCATCGTAAACGAATCGGGAACCTCTCTATAGGACGAAGGGAGTAATTAATTAATTTCTAAAGTTTGGGGGCGGGCTAAACTTGGGCTTGCACATTTATTGTGTTGGAGAGTTGGGATTTTTAATGGTACTTTAATTTTCTGATGTGCTTTGGTTTAATTTTTAAATCTGAGCTGCTCTAGTGTGATATGTATTAATATGTTATCTGTGTAGTTTACAATTTGATTTGTTTTTAGTTGGTCTATTTAGATCAGACCCGATCTATTATGATCTAGTATGGACAGAAAATAATCCATTTTTTTAATGAAATTAATCCTATTAAAAACTTCATTTGAGATACTTGAAAGTAAACACAAAAAAGGTTACTTGGTCACTTGGACAATGTTATTGAGTAGAATTTAGTTAGGAATTATGCCCTCCTCATTAGCATACCCCGAAAGGATTTCCATCTCAATGCAGTATGAGATGAAGTCATATTTTTCACCGTATGTGCCACTTATTGAAGAATGTAAGAACTAAAAAGTGCTCTTTCACTTTTATTTATTTATTTATTATTTATCTATAAAAATGCGGTGTAGATTCGGTACATAGGGCTTTAACAACAATGGGTCCAGACTGTATTTATACACCGTAGAGAAACACACCTGGGATAGGTTGAACTGGGCAGGGGCACTCCAATCACATTGATGAACTAAGGTGGCCACAAAGAACACGGACAAATTATAAGTTTTTCTGATTTTAATTTCATTCAAATCATTGGAATTTCTGAAATTCCAACTCAACCGAGCGATTGATTTGCTGAATTATAAAAAAAAAATTAAATTATACAGAGTATGAATTACCCAGTATATTTTAATAATAAAATAAAGATAAAACAATCTGGTAAAATTTTAAATAATTTGGTTGAGCAACTTCTACCAATTCATCAAGAAAAAACTTTAATCTCCCACTGGACATGTCAATTTATATAGTGAAAAAAACATGCGTAGATAAAAATGGGATCACCAAGAAGGCAAGAAGACATATACGGAGTAATATATTTAAAACCATGTTCACAGTTTAAACTCTTGTCAAGTAGCTATATATTTTTTGTGATGAGAACTACAAAATTGAATTTGGTGAATCACATCCTTCTTCCTTTCTTATGAAGACCTATTTATAGTAGAGTAATTAGGAGGATACAATAAAAACTAAATATTATCCCATAATTAATACTTAAATATACAGTATTAAATAATATCGAAGTTTATATCAAACTTGATATATCTTATATCAAATATTGAATATCAAATTTATTAGATAATATCATTATTTTTTTATAAATGAAAAGAAGAATGATAGTTTTGTTCTACTCCGTATTAAACGATCTCATAAAAAAATCTCCACATTATTTCATTAAATTATTTCATTCTAAGGTATCGTTTTATCACATTATATCATCATATCCTATATTAGTTTTCATCATTTCGTGACTAATTAAGTAACATATAGCTGTAATCGACACTTTGGTCAAAGCAGATACAAGTAGATTAATTGAAGAAAAAAGAGAACATACAAAAATTAGGGGAATCTTGACAAGTTGCAAACTAGCAATATATACCAGCTGGCTGCATTTTCATGATAGGGCCATCATATATGCGGTAAGCTGTCACGCGCGAACCTTTTTTTTGTACTCCCTCAGTTTCTATTTGGTTTACACACTTTCTTTTTTTGGACGTTTTAAAATGAATGCCACAATTCTTTATTTCCTTATTTTGTAAACAAATCTTTACCTAAACAGTGCAAAACAGTGCCAAACAGTGTTCAAACAGTGCCAAACAGTGTACTCTACAGTAAAATTTACCCCTCAATAACTTTTGTTGGGATATTGGGTCCAGACCCAATATCCCCGACCCAAAGTATGAGAAAACCAGGAAGAAACAAAAGGCCCAAAATAGTCCAGACCCGTTCGGCGTTCGGCACATTACCTATACTTGGAACATTTCGGGGAATAAGTACACCCGCATTCTTGACAGGGTGCCGCACACCTAGTGGCGCTCGGGATATTGGATCTCAGAACAACAACGGCAGGGTGCCACTCACCGAACACCATACCTGAACGGGTAGTCAGCAAGTGGAAGCCGCATTTAATGCTGGATCATGGCGGCTGCAAGTGGGGGCATGGGTGCTTACATGGCAGAGGTGACAGCCTACCAGATTCGGCCACGTGTCCACCTTACCCACCCCCATTTTAGTATAAATACCCATGTTTAGATCACTATAAGGGGTTAGCATTTCAATACTCAGAGCTTAACAAGTAGAAACACTTCTCTTATTCTTGTATTCTTGTACTTACCTACCATTCGGGTAATTTCGGTGTAATCGCAGAATTACTGAATACAAGTAGGCTTCTGAGTTGGATAATATCTCACTGTTTTATATTTACTATATTCTTTAAACCAACCCAACATCCCTACAATATCCAAAGCTTGTGTTGGGCTTTCGGATCTTCGGGAATAAACCTCAACAACTTTTTTCCCTTAAATCTTGACAAGTCAAACTGTGTCAACCAAATAGAAACGGGGGGAGTATAATATTGTTGGGTTTTAAGTGGGTTTAATGCACCAAACACCCATGTGATATAGCAATTCGACGTATTAGTCTCTGTGATTTAAAAAATGTGTCAAATCCTTTTGTGTTTTAATTAATCGTGTGCAAAATCCCTTCTATTAACAAATTTAATTCTCAAATAAAAAAATGATTAACATTTTTGTATTATTTAGAGATTTAGACATATTTACTTGCATATTCAATCAGAATATTACGAAAAGTGATTTTCAAATCATTAAATTTGTTCATAAAGGGGGTTTTGTGCATGATTAATTAAAACTTAAGGGGGTTTGACACATTTTTTAAATCACAGATGGTTAATGCGCTGAATTTCTCTATCACGAAGGAGTTAAATGCATTAAACCCGGGTTTAACGCCTAAATCTAGGGATCTAGGGGTGTGCAATTTGGTCAAACAGTTCACTTTTATTGATTTCGTTCAGTTTCAGTTTATTCGATTTAGAAATATTATATTCAATTAAAATCATTTATGTTTTGATTTGAAGGTAGTTCAGTTCGGTTTAATTTCAAATTCGATTTTTCAAAGTAAATATTATTTTGTTCAATTTAGTTTGATCTAATTCTGTTTCATATGTTTATTTATTGATTTATTTGATCTATACACCCAAGTCTTATCTCTTAGAAATAGAAAATGAAAGTAGTAGTTCTCCAAACCTTGTTGTATTTATTATTTAAATAAAGGCCTTTTGGCATGAATGTTACCAAAAAAGAATAATAGACAAAAAGTGATTTGTTTTTTAAATTT